TGTTAAGCCGTTTTTTGAAAATCTGGTACTTTTCCTGGTTTATGCAGACCGTTTTTCAAATTCCAAGTTTGTTTTTCACTGTTTTTTTATTTATTTTGTATCGTTTTTAATAAAGATCTGCGAATATTCCTTTGTTTTTACTTGAGATATATATCCTTTTACTATTGTTTTATACAGAAACAACAATTGCAAACATTCATATTGCGTGCTGTCTTTAATGGAGATATTTTTATTTTATTTTTCCTAATTTGCTTCAAATTCGTCGAAATCAGGTGTAATAAAACATTTCCGTTTTTCGCGAGTCAGCGGCCTTATCGCTCTAGTTATGCGTCTTCGCCGGTATGACGAGCCGATAAACCGCCACAGCTTTCCCGCTTATCGGTAGAGTTACCGGGTGACTGCTGTGACGATCTGGTTCACCAGCTTAGCGTACCGGGCGACTGCTTTGCTTTCCTGGAGTTCCGGTAATGCCCGGTACGACCGGAGCCTCAGTCCGGTACACCAGATAGCGCCACCGCTATCAAGCTACCGGGGCTCCGGACTGCGTTAACCGGTCCCGGTGAAACAGTCCGGGCCGCCGATATGGCGTCACCGGGACCCCGGACAACGTATTCCGGTCCCGGTATGACTACTCCGGGCCGCCGGTATGATGCTAACGGGCCTCCGGTCTAAATATACCGTACCGGTATGGACCAGTACGATCCGGTATAACTTCATGTTTGTCTTTTTTTTGTTTTTTTAAGTAGGGTGATACCCTTCACCCGAAGCACGATAAATGATATCAGTTATCTTGACGCATATCTTTCAAGCGCAGCGAAACGGTAGTCTATTATGTGAATGGGCCTTTATCTGAAAGACTTTGAGTTTGGAGGGAGTGCAAACGACAAGAGGGAAGAAGATAAACGCGTGCTCAGGAGGGCAAGAGACACAGACCTTGGGTTCCTTTCTCGCTGGAGCGCTGACCTTGGAAGAGTTTAATCTCAAGGGCGCAACGCACTACGATGTTCACTCTAGCAAGGCATAAAATTCGTACGAGGTTTCTCTGCGCAACCTCCCCACGAATCAACAAACAATACGCTTGTCTGTGCAACCACTGCCTTTACCACAGCAGCGCAAAAAAGCGCGAATTTTCGACTCTACTGTCTGAATAATATCGGCATAAACGTCTCTGTCGTGTCATAAAAAGTGAGATGGATATTTGATTCGAGGCACGTGTAAGACCAGTCGAAGCGTAGCATGCTTTGCGCCTGCATGTTTTCCTCGACGGACGGAAACAACGTTTTTCTGCCGCTTCCGGTCGCTTTACAAGAAGTGTCCATTGTCCGTAACACGAAAATTTATTATAATCCTTACCCGATTTCATAAAAAACAGCAAGTTTTCTAAACTCTTAAAGGCAAAAATTTTTTTTAAATACAACCCGCCGTGCCATACAAATGTCATAATTACCTTTTTAAATAATAAAGAAATCCAGAAGCGCTTTATGTGTGGCAGTAATTTATCTATAGGTCGAGCCACTTTACATACACGTATATCTTATCGTAGATGTTACTTCCACAAATCTTTATTCTGTACTCCATCTGCGCCTTTTAACCAGTTCTAGATTTGTAAACCAAGTAGAATAACGCCCTGTCATATCTGCAGAAACGATATATATATATATATATATATATATATATATATATATATATATATATATATATATATATATATATATATATATATATATATATATATATATTCTTTTTTTTTTAATGGATACATTATACAGGTTTTTTTACCCTGAATAACGTACTCGCGTTAAAGAAACCTTCGATCACTTGCTAAAGTGATCACACGGCTGTGATTATTTTAGGAAGTAACGTTAATTCAGGCTGAAACCCGTGGAAATGATTACCACCGAGATTTTGGAGGGTGCACAAATCCACTCTTTGGAAATGTAGAGTTCTCAGCATTCTTTCGGTACGCATACGGCGTGAGCAAAAACTACTGCTACGCCATAATTAAACGTTCCATAGGTTAGTCAGGCAGCCTTGTTTAGGCAATACACGTTCAAGGAAGCAGAACCTCATAAACGCCCTCTAGTTTTTTTGAGGCATTTCTAGAATTTCTTTGTCCACAGCAACTGGGCCCCTTTACTTTTAACATACTGTACAAAAAACGTAACGAAGTGACCACGTCTGAAAAATAACATCGTTTACAAGTTTAGCATTACTGCAAAAACTGGTTGGTGATTATTTTAGGAAGGTGACACGCTTTTCACTGCTCAAGCCTCATTGAGTTTGAAAAGATTATTATAAAATTTACACCCAAAGTATTGCACTTTGGTTTTACGAAAAAGGTAAAGTTGAATTTTTTCATAATCTAATATTCAAAACAAGAAGATTCAAAAGAACTTAAAACACGACGCAAAGTCTCAAACGCGGGTGGGTTAATTGGCAAGAGACAAACAAGAAATGGGTAAGATACACCAAACCACAACATTTAGTAGGCGCACCCTCACAATTTCCAATTAAACCACCCACATCTAAAGAGATCTCGAGATATAAAGTATTCTTTTGTCGCGCTCATTCAAAACCAAGACTGTTGACATTACCATAAATCGCGATATCCTACTTCTTTGGGTTCTTATAAATGAGTCCTTTAATTTTTTCCGCGTGGAGGGCTAGCTGTGCCGCATTGCTATTTTCTTGCTAAAGACCCCAGCTGCGTTTGAGATTTTGCGTTCTGTTGTCCGTTATTCTATTTATTCGTGTACCGGCATTGAGACTCTAATATTTCCTAACCAGCTAGCCTGCTTTCTCTTGCAATCTTCTACATTCAAGCTGACGCAGTGCTTTTCAAGCTGTGCTAAGACCTTTTTCACGTTTCAAAAGAGTTGTCACATTTCTCGCCTCCAGTCGATGCAGCTGGAACCCAGGAAAACGGTTATTGATGGGTGGGCGAGGTGGTTGAAAGGATAGCTGGACACTCAAAACTCCATACGACAACCGTAAGGGGTGATTTTGAACAGGCATTGCTCTTCTGGTGTTGCGAAAAAGTTTCGATTCCAAAGAGGCTGCACACAAGCCGAGAACCGTGAGGATTCCGCCTCCCCGAAATCCTTGCGACCGAAGCCCAGGAAAAGGAGTTGGATTTTGTGCGCAAGATTGGAGTTAATGCTAAGCTTTATTTTCCACAAATAAAAATCTTTCCAGCGAGCTTCGGAACACTGACCGAATAGGTTTCACTGTCAACTGTCTTCGAAGGGGTCATTTTTGGGTGGGCTTTGTGGCACACCTGTCTCTGTCTCTCATACTCTTTAATTAGCATCCTATAGCGTCTGAAGAAATAAAACCATGCTTGGAAAAACACTCGCTGAACGTTATTCGTAAAATGAATCATTGCAGTGAACCTTTTTATTGTTCCAATTTCCTTTTTGAGACACTGACGTAAGCTCCACTAAATATCTCAGTACTTTTATCTTCTGTAACTGCAAAAGCTGATTTACATCACAGCTTTCTATACTGCAGCCCGTTTCTACGAAGCAACGTTGGAAGCTCCGACTGGTGTTTATTATGACTACCGAAGACAGAAAGCTTCTTCAAACAATGCTTTTTACATTTACATAAAACGAGCTGAAAATATTAAACTTTTATGCAGTTTAAGTACGAAAAAGGACGCCGCATCGTTTTAGCGGTCATTGAGGAGAAATATTGGCATACGTTTTCTCTGGCATATACGTCAATGGCAAACCGGTGTCAATCCCGAATCCCATTTAGTGACCAGCTAATTTGAGCCTCGTCGTAACGGGTGGCACACGCGGGACAAAGTCACAAAGTACTGCGCACTCGCCCACCTGCCGTCATTAGGCAGACGCACTGCCTCAGATTTATTCTACCCTCGAAATATACTTTCCGACGTGTCTTACTCTTCCACATTTGAAGCGTTCTGCTTTAGTAAGAAGACACTCGAAGGATTTATGCGCGGAAGAACCTGATTCAGAACAGTGTTGTTTCTTGATCTTGCAGCTCCCCTTGATCCACCTTGACCGCGGCTTAAACACGCCCCTAGCGTCTGCGCCACTCGGTTTTAGTACCTTTTTGCTCTGCTGTATAACCAGTTCCTTTGCCTTTTTAACTTTGTTCATGTCTTAAAAATTAAGGCGACCGTCAATCACATACAAGAGGCGGTCGCTGAATCTCGAAGTCTCCAACACCGGCTCTGAAGACGTCTTAGAAGGAAGTGTCCTGGAACTCGCCGAAGTCACAAGTTTTTGACAAAATTCTTTAGGGCAATAAAAAAATTTTCAAACTCTCTTTTTTCTCTTTACACTTCGGTAAAGTTTCAGTCATACAATTTTCCGGTGAAAAGTGGTTCTTGAAAACATTCTTGAATTCTGACAAGCTCTGATAAATCAGGGGTGCAAGAGTCAACAAATCAATGAGTACTAAGTAAATCGTTGCTTCGAGAAATAAAAAAATCGCGCACACACACAGAAAAACAGACACGCGCGCACATGCACACACACACACACACACACACACACATACACACAAACACACACACTTTAGGCTCCGCCCTCTGCTCTCACAAATTTAGCATTCACTACGCTTTAACACCGTGGGAAGAGATTACTGTTACTTGTTCACAGTTTTTATATGACACGAGTATTGGTTCTATAAAACCCCCGCATTGATATAATCATGTTTATTATTTCATAGATCTAAGACTAGCCAAATTGGTTATGGGACCAGATGTCTTGCAGTATTTTCATCTCGATTCCAATGTGAATATACCTATAATCTAAATTTTTGAAAGTTTATTTCTAAAGCGCTTTCTTTCGCATAGAACACGCGTAACTTCGGCATTTTGTTCGTCTCTTACTCCTGGCACTAATTTCTCAAACCTAGGCCCCGGGTGTGCGCACTCCGGATCGAGGCACTGCGTCAGTTTCAATGGTGCCCTGGATCCCACTGCCGCGGGGCGTTTCATTTCAACGAAAAAAAAAATCAAAATCCAATATGGTCCCTTAGCAGATGTTTATTCGCAGTCAGAGGTGATCATGAAAAATAACTTGCATTTCCTGCTACATTTATCCGCTGTACAAATAACGAAAACACATATGCCGAAGGGTTGTCTTGGTGGTTCATGGAGAATCGCTGTGTATGTCAATTACCGACACTGATAGATAGATGCTGCAACGCACGGAGTTCGAAGATCAACGTGAAACTTTAGTTTTTTTTGTAAGCGTGAAGAATGAAAATGTCTATAGGGAAAAAGCAGCTGTCGGGCGTCTTTATGCAGGCGTTGATCAGCCTGATCTCCATTTCCTTACGCATTTTTTGCTTCTCCTCCTCCGAAGCAGTGTCCTTCGTGGTGACGGCTGGAAGCAGCAGGTCTACAGAGAAGAGTGCCGTGTGTTTAAAAACATCCTAGGTTGTCACACTTCAAAATTCGATCCCACAGACGTGAGGTTACATAACGTCCACGCAAAGAATGAAGGCGTGGGCACGACCGGGTAGGGAATATACCTTCAGGCTGAATTTCAATCTTCTACCATTTATTTTATACATTTGATATCGATATCGCCCGGTGGGCATTATAATAGGGGGACGGAAATAATTATACAAAAGCGGACATATAGCTAAACAGACAACAAAAAATAACAAATACAAGAGAAACAAAAAACCATATACTACAATAATATGAGAACACTCTCAACAGCAAGAACAGGCCGGACAAAGTAAACCGTCAAAACAGACTACAAATTTTCTTCAAAATAGGCCCCAATAAAAGCGGCTTTTTTGTCCAGCTCCAAAAATGTACACACAAAAACCCCGAATCTGGAGAAAAACTAACCACGCCAAAATATCGCCAATCTGACAAAAAGAACATTGAAAACATGTAACCCTATTTAATTGTAACACCGAACATCACTTATTGTAACTAAAACATAGGGCAGTCTTCACGCACTACTTGGTTTTTTGTGAAAAGTCTGCCGTTTTAAATGGCGGCTGCTATTGAAATAATAATCATGTGATAAATATGTTCAATTTCAGATATTTAGTTAGGGGAAAAACTATTACTTACCGTACTATCCAGTGCGCTCTTTTACGTCAAAAGTGTCTTTCGTTTTAATAACCAACGCTCTTGTTCAACCCGAAAATTCGTAAACCAAAGTTAAAAAGAGTTTAATGTTTCACCGTGATATTCCAAGAGATAGCCCACCATAAAACTGAGAAGAAGTTGGGGGAAATACGGAATGGGATAAGTTTCGGTGTGTAATGAATAAGAGTTAGAAAAAATGCTATTCCGGGATCATGTGCCTCTGTCAAACATGTTATCGCGGCGAGAGCCAAACAAGCGACGATGAATGTACTTTCCAGTCAGCAATGTTCGCTTACACCCCACCATAGCTAACTTGACGCATTGACACCAAGGTTATCATTGATCCCAACACTAGGATTACTAGGTGTGGGTTATCTTTCGTTGTTTTGAAGAAAATAGCAAATCAATCCAAATATAGGCGTAAGTAACCTTTCAAAGGTGGGACATCTCTCGGGATTTAACGGTAATGTATTGCTCATTAGAACCGTTGTTTTTTCACGACCAGCACAGAAGCGTAATGATAATAATAATTAAAAGGCCCTATACGGGCTTTAGATAGTGAAACTCTCCATAAAACATTTGTTGTAAAACGTAAAATAATTTATGTGAACTTCACACTTTACGAAATATATTTATAAAAGCCTCGACCAAAGTCATTTCACTGTAAAGGCATACACCTCAATAATAACCTAGTCAGTACGTCAGAGAACTGCCAAACTTGTCTCGAGTGGAGCATTTCTAGGTGCCTAACTTAAGTCTAATAACGTTTCTCTCCAAAGTGTTAGTTAGTGACAAAGTACGCTTCATAAGTTTTTTCCATTGCCTTTTTCTGGTTCGCCGAATGCTTGCCTAAGTTCCAGATATGAGCAACAAATCCCACGTAGCATTCGAACCACCAGCAGCGAAGCATACGTTTGGCACTTGCTCCTATATTTATTCCCCAAATCGCCAGGTGAAAATCGCAGAACTGTTCCCCAAATCGCTGGCACTTGATTGGCGAATTCAGGCCAGTACACCCAGCCCCTAGCCAACGAATATCAAGTCGCTGCTTGCCGCTAGGCGCGTCACAGGCACACCGGGGGGTTTATCTGTAGCGACCAGAACTCAGCGACGCGGCACCGCGCGGATGTGACCTAAGGACGCCCCCCAGCACCGGTTGCCATAGATACTGTCCCGCGCTATCGCGCGGTGCCCTTTTTCGTCGCTCATGTGTCCCCTGCTTTAGGCTTTCTTGCCCTTTTATGACCCTAAGTCGCCCAAAAACAATATATTTGCCTAAACAAACTGCTACCTTGGAATGATCTAAGTGATACCGAATAGGAACATCTCCATCGATATAAGCTTGGCTAAATCGTGATTCTAGAGACTTCTGATATTCCCTAAGCCATGATAAATATGTGTAAAGAAACCGCTAGCCATTGCTTGAAGCCTTCCAGGTTATTATCACCTACGAAAATGATACGTGCAGAAATAATAATATGGCTCAACGTTGAAAACATTGTGTGGAAGCTCTGAAGAAAAGGTTGAAGCTCCACGGAGGCCATTTGATTTCTGACGAAACATGCAGCGCTTCGTTTCTAAATACCTTATTTGAGAGGAAAATTCTTTACGATACGTCGCTTGGAAACCCTTATATTTTTCTAACGTGAGTGTGGATCGACCTGTGCTTAACGCAAGCCGCAGAAAATGCAAATCTGTGGTAAGAGCATCGCGCATAAATTTGGCGGGAATTTAGCGGAGCAATTTTTCCCCTCACTTTAGTGGGGCATTTTTTCCACTAAATTCAGCGGGGAAATATTTTCCGGTAAATATAGCGGAAAAACAATTTTGCGCTAAGTTTAGCGGGGAAATTTTTTCCAGGAAATTTCGCGGGGAAATATTTTTCGCTGAATTTAGCGGAGAATTTGGCGTCATCGTCATTCTCATAGACAGTGATGACGTCATCAGTGATGTCACCAGTGACGTCACGTGTAACTTTATCATCATCACGTGGTTACTCTGACGGCGACGCCGTTGAAGCCGGAAGCGGGCGCCTAAGAGCTGCGCTCTAAAACGTGGAAACATTAAAACATCGAGCTGTTTATTCCCATCTTGTACAACTACCTCACCCCTGACCAAAATAACCACCTTCCGACTTTGCAGGCGTGTTTTATATTGTAAGACGAATAAAATAAAATAACAAAATTAGTCGAAAACAAAAACACACGAAACCACTTGAAAAATAAGTCAGATACTAAATATATAAACACACAAAAAATCCTTTGTCCTCTTTTTCATTTTTCTCTTTTAAGTTACAAACAGAACTCTACACAAAAATTGCATGGAGTGACATTTTGACCTAATCAATTACGTTATTTTCTACGAAATCTTACCTAGTACTCCTTGGGCGTTCTTGAAGACGCATGGAGTCGCGGGGTAAACAGTGCAACTTATGGTGCCCATTCCAGCGTCTGCGACCATTTTTTTCACACAAGTTTCCACATCCTTCAAACTTGGTTTGGGATCACGATTCCAGGATTTCGGAAAGATTTCCAAAGGATCCTGAAGGAGGATTAGATCAAAGTGAGTACGAGCTCTACATTTACGAAAAAAATATATGTGTAGGATCCAGAACGACAATAAAGCATTTACAATAGCATCTTTGGGGAGCTTTACCAAGGAGACATGTTTGTAATTCCGACGCCCGACATAAGAAAAACCCGCAGATTTCTCTACTCAATTTCCTTACATCGGTGTGGTAAGAGTAATGCACTAATATCTTTCATTCTTAGGAAACAAGACAAAATTAACCGAGGCACCAATTTGCAACGCATTTGGCCAAAAGGTTCGAACGTGCAAACAAGCACTCACCCCAATGATGTCCCTCCAACGCTCCATTGATGCCATCTCTTGCCACAGGTCGTAAAAAACAAACTGAGAAACGAACAAAAAGAGGCACTCTCCGTCGTCTTTCAACAACTTGCCGACGTTTGCGAGCGCCACCTCCTGATCCTTGATCCAGTGCAAGCAGTAAAAGCAGTAAACACGATCGAACTTGCCGTGTTTTTTCAGAAAATTTGAGATATCTCTTGAAGCTGCGTCAAGGACCGCATAGCTTATATTTGGATGCGGATAATTCGTCTTGGCGTATTCAATCATGGACGGCAATGCGTCCACAGCTACCATCTTGCGGCATGGCTTGCTCCATGGAAGCAGCACGTTCCTCGTGAATTCACCCGTTCCACATCCGATGTCTAGCATTTGTCGACACTCGCTCGAGGGTTTTCGAAATGTTGTCAATCTCAAAGCTTCCCTGTTCATGGGCTTACTTGCATCATTCAGATGCGCATAACGTTCGGGGATAAATCTGGCAGTCATGGTTTTTGTTGTAGGATTTCTTTGGGTATAATTAAGCGACTGAGGTGGACTGCTGGTGGTTGTGCCCCCGCCTTCGGATGACGCATGAATTGCAGAAGCACACTGACCTTAGCTTACTATCGTTCCGCATTTATAAGACCTGAGCGTTCACAGACGCTGACGCTCATCCGAATTATCTCTCATTCTTCCTCTTCTGTTCTCGCTATTCCGCGAACGTACTCCTGAGATAAACTTGTAACGGCACTCTTCAAAGAGGCCTTGCATGCGTCGTTGTCTTTGGCCCTATAGATACGCGGGACAAACATGACAGACGTTGTGACATTCTACGTACGGAATCGGTTGGCAACCTATCAAACTCTGTAGGTATTATTCGCCATTGTTTAAAAATAAAGCATATTAGTGATAGTCAGTAGCGGTCGTAACCCTTTACCGCCAACATTGGCTATCCCAGGTAAACCCTTACTTTTTCGGTCTGTAGTAACCTCGTTATTTTCAAAGCATAACAGATAAAACACTTACGTTACTCATCTTTGGTAATGGGTAAGGTATAGTTACGTTAATCGTTACACCTTCTTCCCCAAACATAAAAAATATGTTTAATTTGTTTTCGTATTTTATGGCGCCAGGTAAAATTATTTTTGTTTTGGCGTTTTTCTTGCTTTTTCTCGTGAGGATTCAGAAATAATACTAAATAATATGAGGTATTTATGTTAGGTATTGTGTATATGTATACTTATAATGTCAAAACAGCAAACCATTTCAATTCGTTGATAAAAATCAGAGCAAAAGTACCGTGCGTTTCATTTTTTCGTTAACGGTAAGGGTAACGTTTTCCTTATAGTGCGAAGTAAAGCATGTCGGCTACGCCTTCCTTTCATTTGCAAGTAACGAGTTAGGTATTTCGTCAATTTTTTTAATTTTTCGACAAGTCTGAGTGATGCCAGTTTGTTGCAGAATTTGTTTAACCATTGTCTATACAAAATTGCGTAAGAATGAAGTAATTCAGAAAGAGAATGATGTAGGACGCATGAAATACATCCAGCTCGCATTCTTTGCAATAATAGCTGTATTTGCAACAATGAGGTACAGTAATGGTAGGGGCTTGGCACGAAAGCTGTTCAAACAGCTGCACCGGTCACTGTAAAAGCAGCGGAAAATGTTCACAAAAAAATCATATTTTACATCAACAAGATGTTAAACACTGAAAAGTCACAGTAGCGACAGTACTGATACAACAAAAAATGAGCATATAAACATGACACTCAAATTTGATCGGTCTGGCTATAAATTTGTATGTTCCTTAGATTGCCTGCACACATAATTTCAAGCTCTATGTGTTGCGCACAAAAAGAATAGTTGAGGGTGGTTGGGAGGGTAAACGCCGTGGTTTGAAGGCTTTAATTAGTTCTGTGACTCTCGTTGGATACGCATATACTTTTCCTTTTAAGTCAGCTAAGCTCACAAGATGTCGTACATTCAGACTCATTTGAGCTTCATATTTAACACACAGGCGATATCGATGTAAGCTAAAAACTTCACTACATCTAGCTGGCTATATAATATTTCCGTTGTAAATTCCGGTGAAGCATTGCGAATGCTTCGTAGTATCTTCTTTGTAATAAAATTATATTTTGTAGATGTGTATGATTGTTTGTTACAAAATTAAGTGGCTGTAATTAAATTGTGAGTAAAATGGCGAGTTACGGGTTGTTTTTGTTTTTTATCTGCACCAAGGTTTAAAAAAAAAGGGAACGTGTGATAAAGTAATTTCAGCCTTGGGGAAGTGTTAGTGGCCATGGCGGCCTGTAGAAAAAAGGTGATATTAGGCAATTAGTTAACTAATTAACTAAAATGATTTAACTAACTTTTTATATTTTCACTTGAGGCCACATAATGTATTAAGAGGCTTAAAGATCGACCACAATATGGTCTAGCCGTGTCGTCAAATTTGGATTAAAAAAATTCCTAGTAGGCGCTACGGGGTCGAGACATATTACTTTGACAAATGGCGTCGAACCGAAACTAAACAGGAAAGGCGAGCCGACCGCGATAATGACGAATCGCATTCCCCGAAGGGCGGAGCGATAACTTTACCGGCGCGCTTTAATGGTTAGTTTCGGTTGGACGCCATTTACCAAACTGACATTTCTCGACCGCGTAGCGCCTACTAGGAATTTTTTCATCCAAATTTGACGACACGGCAATTCGATACTGTGGTCGATCTTCAACCCTCTAAATACATTTTGTGCCCTCGAGTGAAAAATTAAAAGGTTAGTTAAAACATTTAGTTAATTAGCTAACTAATTACCTAATTTCACCTTTTTTTCTAGAGGCCGCCATAGCCGGTAACACTTCTGCAGGGCTCAAAATACTCTATCTCACGTTCCCTTTTTTTTAATTTGCTGCAGCGAAAAAAAAAAACACCCAGTATATTAGCAACCGTATTCTAAAAGGCAAAACATGTTTGGGACCATATGCCAGGCCAACAATGCTAGGCAGTTTTGATATAATTTACATGAGCATCCCATGGAAGTACGGTGAAAAAAGTACCTAAGATTTTAAATGCCGGTACTGCTTTAATTCTGAAGAATTGAACAAAATATCCTCCTCTATGTCATCAATTTTACCCTTTGGACGAAACAAAACAGCCTTCATCTTATTCACATTTATTTCTAACCTATTATACCTGCTTCATGTATTTAGCTTTCCTAGCGTGACGATCGCGTTTTGATTAAGGTTTCTGGGCAATCTCCATTAGACAGCATGCTCTTGTCGTCTGCGTAGATAAGAAAGTTTGTGGAATTGCTTCTATATACGATATTATTTATATAAAGATTAAATAAAAAAGAACCCAAAAAGCTTCCTTGAGGAATGCCTGACTTAATTGGCTTTGCATCCGACAGTTGACCAGCGATGTCGACATACTACTGACGAAAGGAAAAGCATACATGAATAAGGTGCGAAACCTTACCCCGGTAACCATTATTTCCAGTTTCTTAATTAGAAGGTTGTGATCGAGAAAATCAAAGGCCTTCGCGATGTAAATGAATAAGCCAGGAATTAGTTTCGTATTTTCAAGGCTCTTAAGAATGTGTTCTTCTTGAGTGAGAAGAGCGAGTTCAATAGATTGTTCTTGCAGGAACCGAACTGAGATGAGGTGATTAAGTTATGACTGTCTAGAAATATTGCCATTTTAGAAGCCGCATTTTTTTCTAGACCTTTATAGAACACTGGCAAAATTGAAATCGGTCCATAATTACCAAGACCAAAGTAGGATATCTATTCCAATTGCTATGGACCGTCTATACATTTCAACACGGAACTAAGCTTTTTCCATATAATATTAATTCCATTTCCAGATGGTAGAAAGAAGTCACAAAAATATTTTGATCTAGGATTACGGAGTTCTTTGTTTAATTGGTTTCTATAACGTTTAAAGGCGCTAAGCTTATTGATGTCTTTTGTTTTTATATTTGTTTAAAAAGCACGTGTTTGTGCGTATTTTCGCTAGTAATTCTTTTTGAAATCCATGGTTTACATGCTTTTCTCGATTAAGTTATTGTTTTATATGGAAAACAACTTACATACAGCTTTGGACATATGCTCAAGACCGCATTATCCGCTTTTTCTGCGTCTGTCTTGAGAAGAACATTGATCCAATCAAAATCAGATAGTGTTTGTCTAAACTGGCTTCGACTGTTCGGAGTAATATTATGATACTTTGACAACGGTGACTGTTTCGTTAGTTTTTTTTATATATATATTTGTTTTTTGTATACACAAGATGATGCCCAAGTGATCACTGATGTCAGTTATTATCACGTCGGATCTAGTTTGCGACTCTTTAAAATTGGTAATAAGCAAATCAAGTAAAGTCGATGACTCGGCAGTGATCCTTGAAGCCAAAGAGATTACGTTCATGCCTGCGCATGCTTTAATTGACTGATTCATCTCTCTTTCAATTGACCGTTCAAGTAACATATATTTACGTTGAAGTCACCTCCCAAGATTACGCTGCATTTAATATCATTGGCAAAATTGGAAAAACTCGTAATCTTTATAAACGCAGTTATAATCAGTGAGAATTTTACCCGAAATGGTCTCTTTACGCAAAAGGCCAGGCCCCCCTCTCCGGCCAGCAGTATGGTTTAGGACGTAAGTATTGCACGGCCATAATTTTAAAACATCACTCGGCTCAAAAAGCCAAGTCTCAGATAATATAAAGAATTTTACCCGAAATGGTCTCTTTACGCAAAAGGCCAGGCCCCCCTCTCCGGCCAGCAGTATGGATTAGGACGTAAGTATAGCACGGCCATAATTTTAAAACATCACTCGGCTCAAAAAGCCAAGTCTCAGATAATATAAATGCATCAAAACTAAATCCAAAACTGATCAAACAGCAAGTGGATTTCACCCGATCTATTTCGTGCTGATCGAACGTTAATGTTAAAACATTTTTGAGAGCGCGGCTGTACTCGTTACGAAGGAGTTTGCATTTGACTGCAAAAAATATTGGTCGTCTGCCACACAATGTATGTTGCTAGATAATGTGCAAGTGTACCAAATCATTAAAAAAAGAGAAAAAAACACGTTCGAAGAGTTAACACAAGGCGAAAAAATTACAACAATTTTGCGAGATCATCCAAAGACTTAATTACGTGCACTGGTTTCCAGTCATTCTTTCGTACGATGACATTTCCGTTTCTGAACCAAACATATTTGTAATTTGTTTCTTAAGCCCATTCTTTTTCTTTCCAAAGAAGCGCTCTGTCTTGTTTTGTTAAATTTCCCTGGATGTAGATATTACTTGTCGCTTTCTTCAGCACTGCATGCTTTTCCAGTTCTTTATCTCTGGTCTGCTGGCGAACAAAGCGGACAATGATGCCTGGGGTTTATCAGGTTTAGATGCTAGCCTGTGAATATTGGCAGCCTCATTTGTTGTCACATCCGGGACTTCAAGTGTTTTGGTAACCACATTTACCTTTGCCAGCAGATCTTCGTTGGCACTCATAGGGATACCGTGAATCTCAAGATTTTGCTTTCCGTTCTTCCGTTCGAGGTCGTTTACTTCTTGCTTTAGCCTTTTTTTATTTCAGCATCAGCGTCGGTATTTTTTGCAAACCTCATAGTCTTCTTTTTATTTGATTCAGTTCTTTTCCTTGTAACCCGACCTGCTTTATTACCACGTCACAGTTAACCAACATCGCTTGCACAAATTTCTCGATTCCATGCACAGTGTCTTTTTGTTTCAGTATATTCTCTAGTTTAGCATTGATGTATATCAATATGGCGGATCACACTAGGTTTCTTATCTTCTTTAGCACCTTGAGTGCCTTGTGTCACTTTTTCACACGTTTTACATTGCTATGATTCGGGCAAAGCGTTGCTCTTTGACTTATAAGTTTCTCCCGAACCCCAGAGCGACTTAGATGGCTGGAAATATCGCACTCTGTACATGTCAGTTTGGCCCCCGTCACTGATATCTCTTCTGCACATTTGGAACTAGCATTTTTATATGGCAGCAAATCTCTCGGGTCCTCGGTATTGTTTCACGTGGCCGCAACGTTTTACCGCTCAACATTAAACTTAAAATTTATTGGGCATTATCTCAATCTCATTTAAGCTGGTGTCACCTTGTATGGGCTACTACAAGAAAACAAACCTTAAAACCATACTACTACTACAAAAGAAAATTAGAAAAATATTGCTGATGTTTTCTAAACAAATTACACAGAACATTTATTTTTAAAATATTAAGAAATTCCGGTTGAACGCAAGTATAAGTATCGTTTACTTTGTTTCATTCGTTTCTCACCCATACTATACATTGATTTCTTATTCACTGTATCTTAGCCTGAAAGGCATAGCAATCTCAAATTCCACCTAGAGACCATGTAAGTTGAGCCTCGTCGTAAGAGGTGGCACACGCGGGACAACGGCACAAAGTACTACGCACTCCTCCCACATGCCATCATTAGGTAGAAGCACGGCCTCAGATTTAATCGGCACTCTAAATATGCTTTTGCCGTGCCTTACTCTTCCGAAATGTAATCGTCCTGTTTTAGTAAAAAAGACACTTGAACAACTCATACGCAGAAGAAACAGATTCAGAACAATTTTATTTCTTGATCTTGCAGCTCCCCTTGATCCACCTTGACCGCGGCCTAAACACGCCCCTGGACTCTGCGCCGCTCGGTCTCTCTAACGTTTTGCTCTGCTGTATAACCAGTTCCTTTGCCCTTGACACAGTGTTCATGTCTTCAAATTTAGCCTGACCTCCATTGCAAGAGTCGGTCGCTGAATCTCGAAATCTCCAACATCGGCTACGAACAGGTCTCAGAGTGAAGTGTCCTGGAACTCGCCGCAGTCACAAGCTTTTGACAAACTTCTAGAGAGCAATAAAACAATTTGTCAAACTCTCGTTTTCCTTTTTGTACTTTCGCTAATCTTTCACTCAAACAATTTTCAGGTCAAAAGTTGTTTTTGAAAACGCTCTTGAATTATGAAGAGCTCTGATAAATCATAGGTGCAAGCGTCAACAAATCAATGAGTATTGAGTAAACAATTGCTCAAATAACACACATACTTTACAGCTTCGTCCTCTGCTTTCACAAATCTAACTTTCACGACGCTTTAGAACCGTTCAAAGAGATTACGGTTATTTGTTCACTGTTGTTTATACAACACAAGTATAGGTTCTATGAAACCCCGCATTAATATCATCATATTCATTATTTAATGAATTTAAAACTCGCCAAATGGGTTGGGGGACCAAATGCGCTTGCTCTGTTTTCATCATGATTCAACCTTGAATATACCTCAAATTAAAATTTTTGGAAGTTCATTGGTGAAACGCTTTTATTTCATATAGAACTCGCGGAACTTCGGCACTTTGTCTGTCTCACTTTTGTAAATAATTTTTCAAACCTACGCCCCGGGTTTCCGCACTTCGGATCGAGACATTACACCAGTTTCAAAAGTTCCCTGGATCCCACCACCGCGGGGAGCTCTATTTCAACGACAACAAAACAAAAACGAAATACAATGTTGGCCCCTTAGCGGAAGATTTTCATTCACAGTCAGAGGTAACTATAAAAACTAATTTGCATTTTCTGCTACATCAATGCTGTGTACAAATGACGAAAACGCTTATGCCGAAGGGTTGTCTTTGAGGTTTATGGTGAATCGGTGTATATGTCATTTAACGACGCTGCTAGATAGATGCTGACACGCTCGGAGTTTCAACTTGAACGTCATACTTTGGATTTGTTGTGAGCGTGAAGAATGACAATGTCCATAGGGAAAAAGCAGCTGTCGGGTGTCTTTGTGCAAGCGTTGATCAGCCTGGTCGCCATTTCCTTGCGCATGTTTTGCTTCTCCTCCTCCGAAGCAGTGTCCTTCGTGGTGACGATTGGAAGCACCATGTCTACAGAGAAGAGTGCAGTGTGTCTTAAAAACATCCCTGGTTGTCACACTTTAAAATTCGATCCCACAGACGTGAGTTTACAAAACAACCACGCAAGCAATGAACGCATGGGCATGACCGTACTGAGAATATAACTTCGGGATACATTCGAGTAAGCAACAAAGTTACTAGCATATCACAATCTTGAAAAAGCAAGAAGGGTTGTGATGGTGATAATCGAGGGCTCCATATATCCTTTGGTGTAAGTTCCCCTTTCGGCAATAGCATGGCGGTAACCGTAAACAGTAGTAGGGTAACCTAAAATGCCACCACTCGGCACAGTGTTGGCATCGGATGGTTATCTTATTTACAAAAAAAAGAACTACTAAGAAGTAGTCTCTACATATACCTACAAAAGCCTACATCAATTCGAAAACTAAGGTAAAGTAGATATTACAAATGGGTGGTCGCTATGATACGACAAGTTAGTTTTAAGTGGATTGAAAGTAAACATATTCGGCAGAAATCTGCCTGGTCGGGTGAGAGTTTAAGTCTGAAAATGTAGCTCCAACCAATATTTGAAAGGAAATCCGACGCTTCCTTTCAGATATCGGTTGGAGCTACATTTTCGAACTTTAATTTATAAGTGGGGTTTCATTTTTTGCGTATAAAGATAAAAATAAAAAGCAGCCCTTAACTGAATTTAATCAAACTGGAAAAAACAAAGTTATAAACCTCGAATCGGGCCTCACCTTGACAAGGAAAAACCCACTCTAGCAGGAACTGATATAGATATATATATATATATAAGTCAAAGATGCGTACTTTCGGAGTCACTAATTCGAAGTTTATTACGACGTTTCGAGCGAGGACCGCTCTTCATCATATATATATATATATATATATATATATATATATATATATAACCTAACCTAGCCTAACCTAACCTAACCTAACCTCAACGGGCCGGTTGGACGTAAAACGAAAGTGGAGGAGTTCCAGGAAAGGCCTTTCTTTACTGCACCAACGTTTCAAGCGAGTACCCCTTTTCTTCAGGGTGGGATGGTTGTGAAATGTCCTCTTGTTCTCGTTGATGTTCGTGTGGAAGAGGAAGAGTTACTATGAAGGGTATTAAAAATATTCGGAACAGGAGCAAAACAATTATCGTAAATCTTAGAAATTATTAATTATAAACAATGTTAATCCAAGTCAATAAAACAAAATAAATTGAGTTGTAGTATTTGCCAGTCTTTGTTACAGCTCTTAAGCACAATCACTCCCGAGCAACCGGAGCGCACACAAAAGTGTGCGCTCCGCTTGAGGATGTGCTCGGGATTAACAACGCTTCGAGAGTGGAGATCTAGACAGCGCAAGAGTGCCGTGGCGGTTTTTATGGAGTATTTATGTCATATTTTAATGATGCTTACGCGCCCAAGAATTTAACGCAGCGGAAGGATTACCACGGGACGCACGCTCACGAGGATGTTCACGAGAGGCGCGGAACGAGCTCACGATGGCAGGCGCCTTTGGTACAACAAAGTGGTCGACGCGCTCGGCTAGCACAGTCCGTGCAAAACCAAAATAATTGTGTGGCCTCGGCCCTACACACAGCGTGGCAGCCAAGTGAGCACGCGTGGACTTGCATGAATACCAAGAGTACCGAATTGAATTTGTGAATGAAAAAATCCTCCTTCAACTCTCTGTCGTGATCAGAGCTAAATCCAGATTCAAGAAGGATGACACGTATTTTTTCAATGCTATGCTCTTTAAGATGCATGTGTTTTGAGAGCGGGAGCGTTGGTAAGGGCTTGACATGAGACTTGTGATTATTGAAGCGCAACCGAAATGAAGTACTGGTTTGTCCTATATAATCCATGTTACATAGTTTACAGCGTAAAATATAAATAACGTTACGCGTACCGCAGGTGAGGTTTCCAGTGATTTTGAAAGAAAAGCCAGAGTTCGCGCTAGTGACAAGATTGTTGGTTTCGACATATTCACAGATTTTACACCTGGGTGTCTGTCAAGGTCCACAACTGAAAACGTCAAAAGTTCTATTTTTCGAATGCACCAATATGTCCTTAAGGTTCCAACCTCGTCGATATACCACACGTGGTGATACCGGAAAAAGGGTGCGTAGTTTATCGTTTTGCTGCAAAATAATGTGATGTTTCCTGAAAATATTGTTTAGATATGGAAGGCGGGCTGAATATGTAACCACCAGGTTTGCGTGCTCGTTTTGTGACATTTTGGGTTGGGGTTGATTGATAATTTGCTCTCGGTCGAGAGCACGTGCTCTTTCAATGGCCTTATCGACAATGGCTGGGGGATAATTCTGCTTGGACAGCACGAGTTTCAGATTGCTGGAGTTGCGTTCGAATTCATTTAAATTGGAGCATATTCTCCGGAATCTGTGAGCTTGAGAAAAGGGAATACTTGTTTTGCAATGTTTAGGGTGGGAGCTCTTGAAGTGCAGGTAGTTTTGACGGTTCGTCGGCTTCCTGAAAAGTTTTGTTGTAAGAGCATTCCCGTTGATCTCGACTGTCACGTCAAGAGAATCAATGCTCGTTTTAGAATAACTGTGCAAAAACATAATACTGGGCTGGAGACCGTTGAAGTCCCGAATAAAGTTTATGAGTGCTGACTCCCCGTGTGCACATAACATAAATATATCATCGATGTAGCGCTTATAAACCAGAGGTTGCAGAGAGCGACTAGACAAGAAGCGTGACTCTAAATCGGCCATAAAAAGATTTGCATAGTTAGGGGCCATCTTTGTGCCCATTGCAGTTCCCCGAGTCTGTAGAAAGTGTCTTTCTTCGAATTCAAAGTTGTTATTTTCTAAAACTAACCTGAGAAGTGTTGCGAGGACGTCGTTGTTGACACGAATTGTTGAAGGGTCATTGCTATACGCCTTGACTACTGCTTTAATGCCATCCTAGTGAGGGATGTTTGTATAGAGGGACGCAACATCCATGCTGACCAGGATTGCGTCAGTAGGAATTACAAGTTCCGTTATTTCTCGAAAAAAGTGATTTGTGTCCTTTATGTATGATGGCATCGTAGGAGGAAGGTTCATAATGAAATTGACAAAGCTAGAAATTTTTTCTGTCACCGTGTCTATTCCGGATACAATTGGTCGTCCTGGATTTCCTTGTGCTTAAGGGCTGTAACAAAGACTGTGGCAAATACTACAAATCAATTTATTTTGTTTTATTGATTTGGATTAACATTGTTTATAAGTACTAATTTCAAATATTTACGATCATTTTTTTGCTCCTGTTCCGAATATTTTTAATACCCTTCATAGTAACTCTTCCTCTTCCACACGAACATCAACAAGAAGAAGAGGACAATTCACAACCATCCCACCCAGAAGAAAAGCGGTCCCCGCTTGAAACGTTGGTGCAGTAAAGAAAGGCCTTTCCTGGAACTCCCCCACTTCCGTTATATATATATATATATATATATATATATATATATATATATATATATATATATATCAGTGTGTGGAACCGGAACCGAACCGAACCGAACCGAAAACCGGAACCGAACCGGTATTTTTTCCGGAACTGAGCCCGAACCCGAACCGTTATATTGTTATCGCGAAGAACCCGAACCGGAACTGAACCGGAAAAAAATAACGGCTACCGGCTCATATCAAAACGGTTCGGCCACGCGCTGTTGACAATGAATGTGCTATCAATGCCATTTGTTTTTGAAGTGCCGTCAACTGACACACACCTCGCTTACATATTTTTCTTCTCCACTCAGTCTTAGGAATATAAACGCTGCATCTATGAATCTTGACAAACGCTGCATCCATGAATCTTGACATAGTAACCAGTATTGCGCTGGTCGCGGCTTGCACGGAAGAAAGAGAATTGGAAGGCTCTGCAAAAAAAAATCGCGTCACGGGATTTCATTTTCTTACAATCTCGTAAATCCTGAATGCTGCTGTGTGCTCATTTCATAACACGTTTCTAGAACGCGCGAGTTCTTGAAGCTTGCTTCCATCGGAATGAGAAAAGAAAAGGCTGTGGAGTTTGATAATAATGCATCCGGTTTCGTATAGGCACTTAGAAGCTAACATTCGTATCTTGTTTAATGAAAACTTCTTTAAGGGTCTAATTTTAGTTACCGAAGGCTAGTTCAAATAAAGAAAGCTGTATTTTCTCCCCACTGTTCCTTCAATTGCTTACACACCGAGGTGGCGGGATAGTTAGCGAGTTCTACTTGTAAGTGGGTTTGTAAGGAGGTCGCGGATTTTACAGCTACTGCGTCGGACCCAATTAGATGAAGTCCGAATGCGTAAACGTCGGTGAGGTAACCTTTGAGTGCACATAAAGAAACCATTCCTGGTAGAAATCCCTGAGCCTTGCACTACGATGTATCCCGTTTCGTATGTGCTGATTTCAGATGTTTTATTTGTAATTTATTTTGATGTTGCAATTTGTCATTTATAATTTCCGAACCGGTTCGCTAACCGGTTCAGCGCCCCGAACCGGTTCGCGGATCGAATTAATCGAACCGGAACTGAACCGGAACAAAATAAATTTACCTGAACCTGAACCGTAACCGAACCCGTATTTTTTTCGGTTCGACACACTGATATATATATATATATATATCAGTGATATATATATATATATATATATATATATATATATATATATATATATATATATATATATATATATCAGAGGGAGAAGAATATTCAAAGAGAGGAAAGGCTGCAGGCACGGGAGGCGGCAAGAGAAGAGCACGCGGCGCAAGAACGCGCATGTCAAGCGGAATGTGTCCGACTGGATAAGGAGCGGCAAGTTCTGCAACTCAGAATCGCGGCCCAGGAAAGAGGAAATCGCGAAGGTAGAGGGACAAGATTAGACATGGTGATTCGAAACAACTTGCTTTTCCGAAGCTGCGTGTTCGCCACTGGGAGAAGCATTGAGCAATTAGTGCTCCCAACGAGATACAGGCCAACTGTGTTGTCAATGGCACACGATGGCATCATGTCTGGA